GGAAACCACCTGTTCCATACTGCGAGAGTCGGAAACGGAGAGGTCTATGGTCGGAACTTCGTCGACGGCCAACGTCTCTTCCATGGCTGAGACACCATAAAACCAACAGAGCCCAGAATTGTTGCTCTGCTTCCATCACCATATAACAATGGCGAAGAACTAGATGCTCTGACTGAAACTACATTGTCTTCTCTTCGACGCATATTTGTAGTTTTAGTAATGTACAGAGATGGTTTGGAAATCTTGTAAAGAAATTGGTGCCAAAGCTTTTATGAAATTGATTACGTTTTTAGCTTTTATGGGTCTCGACAATGGAGTTCGAAATCTCCATTCGATTTGTCGACGTGGCCTCCGCTGAGTGACACGTCACTGTCACTGCCCACCACATCGAGTTTTCATCTTCTGCGGACCACCACATCATAATATTTCATGTGCTCTATTGCCACGTCATCGAAACCCCCAAATCCCAAATCCCAAATCCCAAATATTCATTTCTATTTCTTTTTATTGTTGTTATTTTTTGAAAAAATTAACTATGAAAAGTAAACAAAAAAAACAGTATATTAAACACGTAGCCATGCGGCTTAGAATTAATTGTAAATAAATTTTGTTGATTGACCATCTGATTTTGTTGATAGAGAAGTTGAATTTCATACCTCTAATAAGAATAATAGGAATGGGGTGATATGTGTGCATGTTCAAAAATGTTTATACGAGAGCAATCCATCAACTTTTTGTTAATAGTCTTTTTTAGACGGAATTACCGTAATTGATCACGGAATTACCGTGATCATTTTTAATAAATCAAGGATAAATTTTATAGTTTTAAAAAATTATGGACCAACTCTAGGGTTGCCTACAGATTAAAGGCCTTATACAGTTTACCCTTTAAAATATTTATTGACGTTGATTAACGTTTTAAAAAATTGGTAACTTTATAAACGTCTTGTCAATTTTTTTTATGATAAAGTATATTTTTTGTCTCTAAATTTTGAGTTTAGTTTCTATTTGGTCGTCGAGATTTTAAAATGAACACTTTACACTTTGGTATACGAAGTTTAGAAAAACTGTTTTAAATAGTCCTTAAACTCAATTGACCGTTAGTTGACCTAACAAAAATATGATACGAAAGTTAATTAGTAACCATTTATGGACGCTACCGACTGAACGAAAAAATGAAAGAAACCCTAAACAAATTTTGAGTACATATTTATTTTTTTCAGTTTTTTTGTATAATATTCCGTTGGTCGGTCAGTCGGTCGATTTCTTGTAGGTCAAGGAGAAAAACTATTGCTAGCACCGACCATTCTGCCTCTAAAAACAATCGAATCAACAGATCAATTGGTCTGATCATGTTTTCAACACCTATTGTGCACCCTCACTAAAAATATACTTTATGTTTATGGTTTTATATACAGTTTTAGTTTAGACAAAGCAATTCATTTATGCTTATGCTTTTCTTTCTTTGTACTACTACTCGATTCCAACATTGATTTATTTATTCGTTTATTTATTTATACATCGATTCAATATCTATCGGTCAAAAATCAAAGTGAACCAACTTATTTAGGCCCTAACAAGTAAGATAAGATGAACTTTTATTTAACTCAAAAGTAAAGATCTAAGTCATCAACATATTGCAGTAAATTTTAATTTTCAAAATGAAAAACATAGAAAATGAAAATTGATCAACCAATAAAATGCAGAGTACTCATTCAAACTTCTCTTTACTTTTGTAGAAACATCATGAGAAAAATATTATTAAAACAAACAAAAATTACACGTGACTTAATTCTCATCAATGGCTAATTGTATTTTAATATATGCTAAATGAGAATATGTAGTTGTAGCACCTATGGCCAATGCTGTCAAAAAATACTTAAAAGGATAAAACATGGTTATATAATTTTTATTTAAAAAATACATTGTAATATTCCATTTTCTTCTAAAAATGTAACCTGTGACATTGAAATCTTGGATAAAACTTAAAGTCAAGGTATTTTTTCCGAGATTATAAAGGTAAGTATTGTTTTTTTTAATCAAAAAATAAGTTTTATTTTTACAATAGCTGATTCCCATCAACCTAACCCAATCGATTTAGTTAATTTGAATTATATTTATTAGCAAGTATAATTTTCTAAAGTATAAAACTCAAAAGTAGTTGGCTAATTCAATTTTCATTGGTTTAGGTTGAACCGGACAATCAGCTCAATCAATTCAATTTTCAAAAAATCAATTTTTCGTTGGTTCAATGTGAATTTGTGCCAAAACCAAACCAACCCACCTGCCCTCGATCCCAAAATCCATAACCTTTTTAAGTGAAATAGAAGATGTCAACTCACTTGAACCGGATCTATTCTATAGGTTGTACAATTATGAAACGACGACTTTACTAGAACCAGATCTATTCTATAGGTTGTAAGTAGTATCGGCTGACAACTTTACTTGAACAGAATCTATTCTATAGGTTGTAGAACTGTGTCTGATGACGACTTGACTTGAACCGGATCTATTCTATAGATTATGCAGTGTCCTTATCTAAGGTGAAATAGAGGCAGAAAGTCACCCATCAAATGGTCAGGAAGAGGGAAGAAAGGAGATCCCAAAATCATGTCTCACCTAGTTACCTTACCTCCTATAGAACCTTAAATATCAATGCAGCTCTAATATATTTGTAAAGACTATCGATTTTAATAAACCTAAAGTTAGAAACATCATCTTCATTTTGATATACTTCCATCTCACTCTTTTCATTCCCACAGCATAATCAAAGACAAATTGCATTTGTTGTTTTACTATGCTAATCTTTAACAAATGTATTGCAGGAGCTGTTCAACTAAAAGTAATTTGATGCATGAGAAACATACCAGCAGAAACTTGGATCAAATAGAAAAAACCTTTGCTCCAAATTCTCGAGATTTTGATGCCGATACTGCTGCGTAAAGCTTACTGTAAGCAGCAGGGAGGGATCAAACTCGATCTGAATTGTAACTATTTACAATAACTAGGGGAGGAAAATGCTCACGAAAATGTTTGGGGTCTGATTCTTCAAGCAGACGGCATCGAGGTTGAGAGAACAAGATATGACAAGTATTGAAGCCCATCCTGGATTTTGCAGAAAGCTGTGGTTTGATCGGCACGGAGATGCTCGGAGAAGGCACTGGCCTTGTCTAGGACTGATGTTTGTGGAGGACCTTTGTGAGAATCGGCAGGGGCAGCAGTCACGGCAGCTTGATAAGCTTTTGACACATCAGAAAGACCTGAAGAGATCATTGAGATTCAGACTGTGATATAGCTCAGATTAATATCAAAACGAGCCAAAGCACAATTAATATGAAAGCCTAGTTGAAAAATAAAAGGAAGATGATGGTCATTCAGAAATAGTTAAAAGGGAAGTACGGCCTAAACAAAACTCTTGACCATAGCCTTTTCTATGTTTACTCAAGGCTGGCTCGTTGATTCACATCATTACTCAAACTGAAGATAGTGGTAGAACGATGGTCGAGTAGTGACTGGTTGTTGGAGATGTTGGGATTTACTGTGTACAAGTAAGATATTGCAAGGCTCCTACTATGCTCCTGTATTGTTTAGCATTTGTAGGTTGCATATCAGTTGGGGATTTCTGTGTTGAGGACACCATAGGTGTGCTTATGGTAGATGCTCCTGGCATTTTGGTTTTAATGAGAAGATGTCGAAACACATTTCTCTTGAGTGATATAAGGATGAAAATGCTTGTCTCAAATGTTCTAAAAGGCTAGTGGTAGCCACAATGGATGAAGCATATTTCTCTTGGTGTAAGTCTCCAGGTAGTATGAGGTGCAGTCTCAATTTTAGTAAAACAATTATACAAAACAAATTATAAAAAGTATAAACAAACACTACCGAATAGCAAATATAATTATAATACGAAGGTACACTCAGCATGCCAAATAGTCAAGGAAGATCGTGTCATATTATTTTGAATAACAAGTAACAGTTTCAGACATCCAAGGGAGGAGTATAGCAGGAAGATCTTGCATATTAGCAAAATTGAAGTATATTGTATGTTAATATCTGAATGAAAACGGATGACAAAAAGTCTGAAAAGGCCAACCTGTGACGAAGCTATTTGAGAGTGCATCTACATATCTTGTCATGGATAGAGCCTTTAATCTAATAATTTCAGCTTTTTCGACCGAATCTTCAGGCCATTGGATTTTTACAGCATCGTCCTCCTCACCATCATCCTCAACTTTGTTAGCATTTGTTATAATGGATTTTCCAAGCATCAGCAATTGAGATACCGCGAAATAACACATTTCTGAGAGTCTCTGCAGATGAAAATATAACCAACTCATTGTCAAATGCCACAAAACCATATCTACATTAAACGAAAACTAGTCAATTACGAATGCCTTATTAACAGTGCCATATCATTAAAAATCTATATATCTCTCTTTACATGTACTCCTTCGGAATGAAGTGATTCTAGTCTGTCGATGGTCCTTTGCATTATTTCAGGAACAGCTAATTCGGCCAAGGAACCTCCAAACCTGCAAATGATTAAAAACATCAAGGCATTTACACACACAGCATAAGTGCACAAGCTCCATCCAATAGGTATGTACAATAAAAGTGAAATGAAAATTCAGCAGAAAGCTTTTCAAGTTCAAATGTTTTAAGGCAAATTTTACCCTGCGGCCATTTGAGCAGCCTCGCTGACACTAGAATCATATAAACTCTTCATCTCATCATTTCCCCCTTCCCCAACTTCTAACTTTTTACCTTTGTCTGCATTTAAACTACTTGCTTCCATTTCACTGCTCAAACTGAAAATTTGTTGGACCTGTTTAAGCTTTCCATCATATACAGATTTTTGGTCCTGGGATAATTTTCCTTTCCTTCGGTTATATAGTAAAGTATAGTGATTTGACAGGGCCTCCAACTCCTGCAAAAAAATCAAAAATAAAAAAATAAAAAACTACACTGATTTAACAGAGTAGCATCCTAATATAACTATTCAACTTTCCAGATTAGAAAGCGACCTCTAACTGTTCTGGACCTCCATATATATAAAAGCATCGATCAAATGTCACTTCTTCATCTTCTAATTGATCCTCCTCGGCCTGTGGTTTGCTATCAATAGAGGTCTTCTCAACCTCAATACCAGTCTCTGTAATCAGTAAATCCATGGTTTCCTTTCCAACAAATTCAAGAACTTCCATTCCCTTTGTTGTAAGAGCCCTCCCCCTCTGCAACACAAATAAGATCTCAGATACGAAACATCAAACAGAGCACAAGATTTTACAGAATTAACAGTTTTAGCCATTTCTTGAGAGATTTCATCAGAGAAAATAGTTCAGTTTTTAAGAACCAAGTTCTGATAGTGATTAAAGGAAGTAAAGTGATTTTTGAAGCTTTCCTTTGGTAATTTTATAAAACTCACTTATATAATTAGGCAAAAAATTTTATTACTTTTACTTTGGTCTATAGGAAAAAAAAAATAAAAGTTATATTGAGCCCATTATACTTTTGTTCTTATCATGTCCCACCTTTGCTCCACCCGCTAATTTGTTTAAATACCCTACTAGGCTACTTACCAATGAAATTATAATTGTTTCCTGTTCAAAAAATAAATCAATAAGCAAAATAATGAGTAATACAAACCTCCAACAATGATGGTGCAACAGAACCAGCTGCAGCTGGTATACCTTGATGTTGAATGGTTTCTGCAATATTTGCAGCTGAATTCTCAAGCCTAGGAAACAATTATAGAATATTACTTCCTTAGACTTCAAACTTAAAACGGAAGAAGGAAAAGAAAACCAAAGCATAATGGAGGGTTAGTGGAGTGCAGGAGGAGGCATATTTATGATTCAAACTTCCAATTTTAATCATAGGTATTTTATCTATGGGAACTTTGATCATCAGAATTCAAAGTAAATGTGAACCCAAGAAATTAGGCCATTACAACGTTAGGCAAATTTCCAAAAGTATTCGCTATGTCCCTTTTCAATGGCAGGGCAAAGCCAGGGAAAATTTTATACTGCAGCACATGATCATCCAAAATGGCATTTACTAAGTTGTCTAAAGCGTTCAAAATTCAGAGTGCCATTAAACAAGATAAGCATACTTGTGCTTTTCCTACTTAAAAAAAAAGATAAACATACTTTTGTTTTTCCTACTCAAAAAAAGATAAACATACTTGTGAACGAAATCACTGCCCCCTCTCAAAGCACTTCCCAGGGCTTTCCATGCTCCTGAAGCTATATTCTCCACAGAAGTATCCAGAACCTTTAAGCCCTGCAAATATTGATATAAGAAATAATATATAGTTATCAACCCAAGTTCTTTGTTTCAAGACCAAAATCAATTGGAAGAACCATCCACATCGTGATCAAGTACCACATAACCATGTAATGACAACGCACAATCGTCAATTGATTCTTTCTTTCTTTTTTTCTTTTTTTCTTTTTTTTGATAACCAAGAGTCGGAGCTTAGCTCTCCTATACCCAGAGGCACTCGCGCGCCCCAAAGCTCGGACCCAGGAGACATCAAGGATTTTTGGTATTAAGCTCATCGGAAGGTTCGAACTTGAAACCTCTAAGCTAGTATAACCAAGAGACCCCAAGCCCTTGCCAACCGGGCTACCCCTTGGGAGCAATCGTCAATTCATTCTTCTATCATCACCAATATAATTGCTGAGTTAATCATAGTTACCCTCTGTATCTACACTCACTCATATAAAAACTAAAAGTAGTTATCTTAGGAAAATAGAAAAGGTATATTGAAATTAGTTGAAAACATAAATCCCACAGAAGATTTAGTAAGCATGAAATAATATTAGAAGCAGCAAGACAGCAAAAATTCTTAGTAGATGAAATAAATCAAGAAAAAGTAGAGTTGTGCTTAAGCATTATTAGTGAAATGGATGTCTAGCATGTGGATGCAAGAGAATAATCATATAGAAAATGGTTACATTTGTGGGAAATGCAAAGATTGACATGACATCCAAAAAAAGACAGAGACAGGAAAACCCTGTTCTCAAGTAACTTGCCTGGCCAAAAACGGAATCCTCACTGGCCTTCTCTAATTTATCCAAGGCAGATTTTCGCCGCTTATCATTCTCGTCTTCACTTTCATTTTCATCTGCAGAACCTTCTGCTTCTTTCTCCTTGGAAGACTCCGCATCCCCATCTTCATTTTTCAAGTCTACAATGCTTTTAGCTGCTGTCTGCGCAGCTGCAGCAGCCTGCAATTATTTGCACGCACACCAGAAAGAAACAATGTAATTTACCAAATTGCTCCTTCAGTTGATAACATCATAAGACAATTGTTCCCAGAACTAACGTCGCAGAGAACCCAACACTATGCTACAGAAAATTGCTTCTTATCAAAATAACAACAACAATTATATATAGGATCGCATAATATAATATTGTGTGAAAGCTGTCTTAATAAAGCCAGTTATTGAAGGTTGAACCACATGAAAGTGTTTCATTAACAAGCCGGTTATCAGAAGCTCCCGAAACATGCATACCAAAACTTAATAGATTTTATTTCTAGTTTCGTTACTGCTGCCAAACTGTCCGAAAACAAACAGCATTTCCCCAATACATAATGCATTAAGCAGATTCGGTACTTAAACCTCTCAATTAGAAATTAAAACCGCCTCAGACTCCAGATAAGTGGAATCCAGTCACCGAACATCCAAAACGCGAACAAAAAACCACACAAGCTCGTAACAACGATAGATACACATACATTTCGGGAGATCTCTTCGGCGGCCTTCTGGAGATCTGAGAGAACAGAAAACGCAGAGAATCCCCAGCCTCCCCAGCCTCCTCCTCCTCCTCCTCCTCCTCCTCCTCCTCCTCCAGCGCTGGTTTTTGGAGGTGCTTCTTCTTCAATCTCTTCAACTGGCTTAGGAGGAGGCTCCTTCGCCTCCCTCAGTGGCTGCTTCTCGTCCTCCATTGAAGCACCTACGAGACGATTTCGCTCAAATTTCCCAAAATCACAGTCCTCTGGAACAAATAACTATTTTTCTTCCGCCTTCTTCCTTTTTGGAAAAATAATTGAATCGATGGGGCTTTAATTGAATATCTCAAGAACAAGAACCCTTCGCTGTTGTATGAGTCTTCTTGTGGCTTCTTCCTTTTCAATCTCGCGATCGAACTTTGGCGTAAACGTGAAGGCAGTTAATTTCTCTCCCTGTCGTTTCACGCTTCTCTACGATGCCGTTTTAACTTTTTGGCCGCTCTACCCGAAGACGGTTCGATAATTATTATTACCATTTTTTTTTAATAAGAGGGGAGTTGAATTCATGATTTTTAGTAATATGGTATTATTCTTACTATTTTAATTTTAGTACAATATGTTGGGTGGAGGATAAAACTTACCATCTTTTGATTGGAGGTAAATATTAATTACTACGGTTCGATTTATTTTATTTTAATTTTGAACCGTAACTAAGAAGTTTCATGTGACAAAGATGGATAATAAACGAAATGAAAGAGATTAATAAGGGAACAAGAAGGAGGAAAAACTGAATAGGGTGGAAATTACAACAAATTAATACTAAGTTCATTCCACGTGGGCTAAGTCTTGTTTTCTTTCAAAGGATTTGCAGGTTTCAATTTGATTATATAAAAAATTACATGATAATTCGTTTTGATTATGGTTTTTATCTCCTGAAAATTTTAGGAAAATCACGTATTTTACCTTTGTCAATTATTTTAACATTTTTCTTCATTTGTGTGGGTTTAAAATTTTGTAGAAGGATGAATAAATAGTTGTGAATATTAAACGAGGAGGAAAAATAACATTATTTTGAACATGGAATCTCCTACTCTTATACTAGATGTTAAATTGTCATTTAACCTAATAGTTAATTAAACTGATAGGTTTACTGTAATTGTAAGTTTAATTATGTATTTATATTCTAGGTACCTCAAGTAGGCGGAATCATGCCTTATTTGACAATCATAGATAATATTATATATTTCTATAAAAGGTATTGTTCCCACAAAGACATTACCTACGTCTATATGTCAAATAAATTTTTTATTTTTAAATAATGTGAGACTATGTTATTACCCCATTTTATAAGAGATGCTTACTTATAAATTTGTTCATATTAGAGTTCAACAAGAAGTACTTGGTACTACGATTATTGGAGGAGCAATACTTAAACCTGAGGATACTCCAGAATCTTTTTGATTGCTCATTCGAGAACTAAGATCTTTGGCCATATCATGAATTAGTAATTGCATTCGATCTCTAAAAAAATCCTAATTGTTTCGAACTTTCTCTTTTTGGAATGAAATATTTACGGAAAACAACTTGTAAACCTTATTATAGCGGACACTATATGTAGTATCATTTAGTTGACAAACAATTTCATTGTTTGAATTCTCACATAATTATGTCCAAATATTCCTAACAATGTTATAAAGAAAATTGAACCTTTAATTTAATTTTAATTCTCCCAATGGAAATAATTATGGTGAATTTATCACTTTTGGGATTGTGAAAAATATTTTTAATGAATTGAAAGTGATTTTCCAAGAAAATAAGTTTAGATCCGTAGGCCTTCTACCTCCATGCTGCATTACGATATGTACGTGACTATCTATTCAAAAGTGGCTTATAAGACCAAAATACTTTAACAAATGTTATTTTGAAACGAATGAAGTATTTTACTTATAAATATTATATTCTCAAAAGTTATCTCAAACTCGATCCTAATTCTATATTGACTGAATTAGACTGGTGCCATGAAAAATGATTATGGGAGGTAATACCCAAGCTTTTCCATATGAAATTTGTTGAAACAAAACTATGGAGAGAGTTAACTTTATAGCTTGCAACAGAGATGGGAATAAATCTTTTTTGGATTATTGAGTTTCCATGTCAAATGAACTATAAACTTAATCAGTAACAAAATTGGAACTATAAAGTTAATCAATACAATCCCGCAGTGGAGAAGTTGAGCTGGGTTGATACAGAGGAAACGTGGGCAATTTAAAGCGTGAGGAATGATCGGAAATTTAATACTAGAGACATGAGAGTTCTTCAAGACATTGTAAGTTCGGAAAAACAAACACCTGCCCTTCCTCCGTCTCGATATTGTCCCTACTTGTTAAGGATCTCACATTGATAAGGTAAGAGATCTAACAAAGGTTTATAATATAGGTAGCCTATTCTTCTAATTGTCAATTGGTTGTGGATCTCTTCCTCCTCTTGTTTTTGTTCCCTTCTAAAAAAGTATTTTAAAATGCACCTCACATGGTACCCGAGGCACCCTTTGTAAGATCAAAATGCACCCTCAAAAATTATTTACAATAATTTTAAAAATACAAAAATAAAATAATTGTAAAATTATAAAATTATTATAAATAACTAGTGATTTTGAACACTCTTTAAATTGAGGAAAGTATGCCCTAATTTATGAAAGTCTGCCCTGATTGGGTGGCTTCCTTTGTTGCCTCAAAGTCATGAATTTCCAACGTTCTTGAGTTCAAGCCTGACAACTTATTTTTTGTTATTTATCCAAAAAAAACTTATTTTTTTGTTTATATATATATATATATTTTGCAAAAACGGCATATCTCGGATTTTTTAAATATGTTTTTTTATTTAAAATAATTAATTTTAACTTCTATATCTGTGGCATATTTTTGAAACTTATCTTTGTTTTTTCTATTTTGCAAAAACGGCAAATTTTGTCTTTTATATATATATATATATATATATATTGCAAAAACGGCATATCGTGGATTTTTTAGATATGTTTTTTCTTTAAAATAATTAATTTAACTTCTATATCTGATTAAGTTTATAATGTGGACATTGTCAAAAGCAAAAACAGTTTATAATGTGGACAATAATTCAACTTTAAAGTGCTGTAATTTTTATTCTCTATTCAATAACGGTTAGTTCTCCCATTAATTTTTTTTAAAAATTGTTAATATAATTATAGTTTAATGGTCAAAGAAATTTTGCCCTTTTGAGTACACAACAGGGTAAGGATGGATATTCAAACTCATGGTCGGAGATAGATGTCGTTACTAGATGAGATATGCTCAAGTTGGTAAGAAATCTTACTCGTTGCTCAGAGGTTGGAGGTTCAATCTATTTCCTCATTTTTTTTACTAAAAATCAAAAACAAAAACAAAAAGTTAAACCAAAAATAAATATGCAAAAAAAAATTCACTAATTTAATAAGAAATAAGAAGTTTGATCAAGACACAAAATCTACTGTTAAATAGTTTGGTCAAAACAATTATGATGTCATTTTTGTTTAAATCCTATCTATTCCATATCAATTATGTATTTTTTAAAAATCAAAATCGTCATGTGAAGAAACAACCTTGGGATGCGTTCCAACACATGGTCATCTCTTGGTCTCTTGAAGAGACGATCATATCTTGATTTTTAAAAAAATTAGATGTGGCGCCAATAAAGCGTCACGTCCTTATGGTCGTCCCTAGGAAGACCAACTACTAAAAGTGGCATGGTTGTCTCCAAGTGGGGGGCTAATTTCAAAAAAATATTATTTATAGAATAAGTTAAAAAATATATTTTTCTTTAATTTTTATTTAATGCACTGTTATTTTAAAAATAAGTTTAAATAAAAACATTATTAAAAAAAATCCTAGGTTGGTATCATCTTAATTTTGTAGTGTAATATTCCAAAAAAAAAAGAACAATTATCTTTAATTTAAAAATTTCCACTTACACCCCTAATACCTTCTTTCGAATAAAACGTCATCAAGGATATTGATGTCATTTCAAATCATATTAATCATATCCACCCGACCGAATTGTAACGCTGGACCAAATCATCAACCAACGTGGGCAGGTCGGCCACGTTCTACGTCTGCAAAATCCAGCGTGTAAATATGGATTATCCAAATCTTTTTTTAATTACGGATTATCCAAATCTCTCGTTATAAAAGTTAATTAAAAAATGATTATATGTTTCGTAGGGAGAGGAAGTTCGATAAAGCTTGTCACGAATAGGATTGTCGATAAGACGGTGTCCATCGCGCTTCATTCCAAGACTTTTGCTTTTTGGTCATCTGTTTTTTCTGATTGGCTTCGTGAAGGAGCCGTGCACAATTTGTATGTTTGGCACACTAGTTCTGTTGAAGTTTTATTGAAGTTTTTTTCTAAAAAATATATATATCATTCAAATTTTAGTATGATTGACCTACTTTATATTAGGTATATTTGTTAAATAATAATATTCTTAGTATTTGGTATATCAATTGTATAACTAATAAACTCAATGTCAAGTATATTTTGCGATATATTTAAATTAAAATCTTTAACTTGAAGAAGATTTATCAGTGATATACATAATAGCAATATCACTTATATACTTGATATATCAATGAGAAACCTACAATGTTATTTAAGTCAAAATCTTGAATTATAATAAGATTTATTAATAATATATCTAATATCAAGTATATCATTCATATATTTAGTGTGTGATATATATGTATCAAGTATATCAGTTACATTAGTGTATACTTTATCATCGGTAATTGCTATACTTAAAACGAAGTATGTCACCGATATACTTTGATATATCAATAAGTAGCCGACGATGTAACTTAAATCAAAATCTTCAATCCGAATAAGATTTATCAATAATATATCTAATATAAGGTGTACCATTTGGATATTTAATGTGATTGATATACTTCATTATGTGTATAAATTATATGAGTGATATATTTAATATTTGGATAACGAAATAAAAGATTTTATAAAATTTGTCATATTTGCAAAATAAAAAAATATAGTGGCTATATTTGTAATTATGGCAAATATATTTGCTTCTCATTCAAAATATCCTAAAATATATCATAATTTATATATATGCGATAACTTAAATTAAGTTCATATTTAAATATGTTGCACCATGAAAACAGTGCCATTCTTGCGAATTTTTGAAGTGTCTCTGCAAATTTAACAAAATTATATTAAATTTCATTATTTGAGGTTCATCATTACATTACAAAAAACATATTATATAAAAGATACGAAAAATAGTAAGTTCTAAATAAAAACTGCTAGTAGATAAACTTTTTTTTTCCTGAGTAACAAATGTTATCGAATCAACCATTATAACCTAAAGCCTAAAGCAAAAAGGTTTTAAATTAGTTTGGAAGGAAAAAAATATATTCATAGAAAATACAATTTCACAAACATACTGAATCACATCCAATGTCAATGCTAAAAATTAACTTTTAAATTTTTCAATATTTATCTTTTATCACAAGAAATAGAATGGGTCCACTGGATGTTTGTAAACTAACTCATCCAGATCACAAATTGGTACTCATTACTACCTGTCCACTATTAAATATCACAATCTTTAAAATTTCTAATTTTACCCTTAAAGTGTATTAAAAATTATTATCAGTTATGTCCTTTAAAAAATTGTTATAATTTGCTGTAAAAAGTTAGTCCCATTAAATTATTACTTTATTAATATATTTGGCACATGACATACCATTTAGGCATGCTTCCTTTAAAAAAAAATATATATTGATGGACAAGTTGAAGTTTGAGAATAGATGAATTGAATTTCATATGTCAAATATTATGTGAGTGACATATTCATGTGTTTGAATATGCTAATTAATTAAAAAAATACTTTAATAATTAATCAATTTTTTTTCTTACTAATACAGTAAGAGCAAGGATTTTAAAAGACTAGAGATGAAATTGAGAATTATTATAATTATTGCGTATATATTGCCAAATCTCACACCAAAAGATATAGAATTAGCAAACATTAATTGAGTAATTGTCACCATAATACACATTTATAAACTTATTATAAACTTCATATTTTCAATTCAAATATTCATGATGTATATCATGTTTGAACCTAAATTTGACTAGGTTAAAGTCTGGGTTATTCAAAACTATATACATGAGGAGAAACATGCATAAAGAAAATTAACACTTTGATACTAAAGTTAGTAAGAATCCAACCTATAATTTTCAAGACGAAGAATCATATTGCATACCTATGTATAGAAATGATTGATTATTTATACGAGATAGATAGTGGGTCCACAGCTCCGGTCTCTTATACAGTTTTCAAATTAGTTAGATAGTTACAGACGATTGTGTGAAATATCTCAATATAAATCTTGTTACAAATTATCAACAAGGTTCCAAGCTATATGGATGCACTTTGGTTGAACTCAATAGCTGACTACTGTTTATTTTCGAAGTAAAAGATTTACTATGTGAGATGATCATTCCCAGAGCGCCACGTGATAGATCGTATTTTGTCTACTAATATACATTATAAAGATTAACATATGAATTTTATTTTAAAATATTGAATTTAAATAAAGGGCGGAGAATCAACATTCAATTATAAAAGAGGTTACACATATCATGATCAACTAAATTAGGTTTTTACCGGGAGCAATTTGGAGAATAAGTAATAAGTTTTTGTGTTTTTATTTTAATATGAATAAATAGCACAAACAATAATAAGTAATCAAATCAAAGTTAATTAAAAAAAAATTTATCTTCCCATCAAATTTTCAGATGAGTTTTTTTTAATTAAATCCATGATAAAGATTGAAATGAAAATTTTTATGAAATTTGAAAGGTGATGAATATATATAATTTCTAAATTTTAAAGAGAGATAATAGAAAAAGGTATATTCTACAATCAAATGCCACACAGTTCACACCTAAAAAAAAGTATTTAAAAAAGACAGCTGAGTTGGATTCCGTTGGGGAAAACGGAACCGACACGTGTCAGTGACGGCAATGGAAACCCTGCTGTTTTCTTTTGTAAAATTGTAAATATATATAATATATTTTAAACCGAAATAAAGGGAAAGCAAAAAGTAAATAAATTCCGAGGAGAAAACGGATTCGGAGTTCTTCCCTTCTAGCTTGGAATCCTGTTCTCTATAAACGAGAAATTTTCCCTCCAGCTGATGTACCGGCGGGAAGGGATTTTGTGGCAGCTTCGGCAGGTGTTGATCGTCTGTTCGAATCGCGTTTGCCGAATTCGCGATACCGCAATTGAATCAAATTCCACTTTGTTCTTTGTGGAGCTGGATAACTCTTACGGCAGGTGATTTAGAGAGGATTTTGTTGTGTTTCAGTAGCAATGAAGGCTATGGCGACCGTGCAGGATCTGATCGAGGAGGCTAAACTTCGAACGGTTTGGTGGGCTCTGTGTGTTTTCGTGATTTCGTACTTTTTGACCCGTAAGAATTCTTTATCAAAATTTCGATTACTTTTTGCAATTTGCGTTACTGTTATCTGTGCGCTGGTTTAACTTGAGGACTGTTCTTTAAATGTATAACCCATTCCCTTTTTCCTTCTCTCGGTGGCTTCAAGTTTGGAGTGAGTTGATGGTGTTGTTCGTTCTTTAATGATTTCTTATAGTGTGAAAGTTGCAAATATTTTCACTTGAGAAGCAGGATGAAGCAAAATAGAGCAGTAATGATTTCTTATCCTGTTTGATTGGTTGAAAGTTTCCGAATAGGAAAACAAATATGAAATATGAAGTATTGAGTTTTCCCCTGTTCTATCAATCAATCGCCGTGCATTTTGGGGTTTGATTTTGATGGACCTTTTATTTTTTTAATGCAGATACAAGTAAGTCAATGTGGATGAATTTACCCATAGCAGTTCTACTAGTTTCTGCTCTACGTATTCTATTCAACGAGATTGAGTTCCGTAGAAAGGTGCGACCTATTCAGCAACAAACGTACTTATCTCATCTGGAGAAGAAGCAGTTGTCTGTAAATGACTCGCGGCTTTCTTCAGCTCTTCCTCCACCAAGGTGGAAAAGGAAAATCCACTCTCCTATTGTGGAGGCTGCAATGAAGGATTTCATAGATAAACTACTGAAGGACTTTGTGGTTGATTTATGGTATTCAGAAATAACCCCAGACAAAGAGTTTCCCGATCAGATACATGCGCTAATCATGGACGCACTAGGTGAAATAGCAGTTAGGGTGAAAGACATAAACCTTGTTGACTTGCTCACAAGGTAGCTTATTTTTTGTGTGGTTGAGATGGCTGGAAATTTTTCCATTAGGTTTCTTTGTTATGTACTTAAGGAGTTTTAGGAGTTCTGACTATATTTAAATAAAAATGGTGCAGGGATGTTGTTGATTTGGTAGGTGATCACTTGGACCTTTTCAGAAGAAACCAAGCTGCCATTGGCGTTGATGTTATGGGAACACTATCTTCCGAGGAGAGAGACGAAAGGTTGAAACACCATCTTATGGCTTCTAAGGAGCTTCATCCTGCATTGGTGTCTCCTGAGAGTGAGTACAAGGTGTGAGTGGAGTGTTTTGTGAAAATAGGTCTTGTTATTTGAGTAGAATCATTCATTTTGCTAACTACTATTCTACTGTAGGTCCTTCAAAGGCTCATGAGTGGAGTGTTGACTTCAGTACTAAGACCAAGAGAAACTCAATGTCCTGTTGTCAGATCTATTGCTCGAGAACTTTTAACATGCTTGGTGGTGCAACCTCTTATGAATTTTGCAAGTCCTGGGTATGATTTTGAATGGCTAACCCTAAAGTCTGATCGTTTACTTTCTAGTTCTTTCATGAAATTGCAGAGAAAAATGTTGCTTACATTAAGAAGAAAAAGTGTACACCAAAACATTTGCATATTTTTTACCTGTATAATTTTACTTTTTTGAAGATATCTAGTAGTAAAAAGTTTAAAGAAAATGGTTTGCACTAAGATGTTCTTGTATGTTTGGAGGCTCTTTTGGGTGGTCTATTGATAAAATAGTTATTTACACTAATTTTTTTAGGACTAATTTTTAATTATTTTAAACTCAGAAAGCAAAAAATATTTTTTAGTCCCATGTTTTTATTCACGTTTCCATATGTTAACTTAAAAATATATTTCATTTAAATTAGTTTATACTTTAGAAAAAAGTTAGCTAAGAGAGAGAGAAGAGATAATCTTTCTGTTTTTCTTTCTGCTTACTGTCATTTTTCCATTCTTTTTATTCTGAATTTGTTTGTCTTGCCAAATGTTTTTTTTTGTGTGAGATTTTATTTGATTTTTTTAAGAACATAAAACAGTTTTAGAAGTGTATCTTCCAAACAGCACCTCAATTCTTTCTTAGTGAAAAAAATTTGGAGAGAGATCATTCTCTTTGGCACATATGTCTAGTCTTAAACGACTTACTAGTCAAAAGAATTGTAGCAGTGGTTTTTGACCCCCTTTATTTATTTTTTATTTTTTTGTGATCAGGTACATAAACGAGTTGATCGAATGTATTGTCCTTGCCACTAAAGCTGAGAGTGACAAAGATTCTTCAGATCATTACAAAGATTCTTCTACTGCTGTGTTAATACACGTCGAAGATTTGAACAAAAGGAAATGCTCATCTTTAAATCCAGGGAATGATTCAGAGCTTGCTAAAATTGACAGTCAACAAGAGAGAACCTCAGATTACATGTTCCAGGAAGAGCCTTTGCAACTGAAACATGCTGATTGGGCCCGTGTGTTGAATGCAGCAACCCAGAGGAGAACTGAAGTTCTTATGCCTGAAAATCTTGAAAACATGTGGACTAAAGGACGAAACTACAAAAAGAAAGAAAATAAGATCATTAAAGTAGGAGATTTTGAACCTATGCCTACGACAAAGGATTCTGGAATAAGTAGCATGCAACCTGCAAAAGTAACAAGGGATGAAATGTTGAGTGACAAGCATCGGGCTTCTATTGGGCCAGAAGAAAAGGTGATAGTAAGGAAAACATCCGAAAGACATTTTGATGTCCCTTTGACCTCCGAACCAGGTGACAAAAATAAAGTCAGTTTTCAGTTATCTCAGGATCTTCCAAAGGATTCATCTACCGATGGGAAGCTTTCTATTAATGAATTAAAGAATGTTGGTACACTTACAGCTAGTGCAACTAAAAAACAGCTCAAGAGATCCAATAGTACTTCTGCTTTGACAATTGCAGTTGGTGCAGGAAAGACTTCTACAGTAGAAGGTGGAAGATCTATTATATCAGATTTCTATGGCCCCAATTTTGGCAAGCATAGTGAAGAGCACCTTGCTAAGAGTGCCTCGGATATGGTGGTCCAAAAAGAAGGGCTGCTTGTTCCCAAACTTAGGAGTCGGGTGAGTGGGTTCATTCTTTTGTTTTCGTGCGTAATTTGTTTACTAATATGGTGCTTTACCAATTTTGTTCTTCTTGTCCTATCACAGGTAATGGGTGCATACTTTGAGAAAATCGGTTCAAAATCTTTTGCCGTGTATTCAATAGCTGTTACAGATGCAAATAACAAAACTTGGTTTGTCAAGAGAAGGTATCATCCTGATATCCCTAATTGAAATATTGAACGATGTCAAAAAACTTTAGTGGTTTATGTAGATTCCATGACATTCAAGTGCATATAATTTGTGTTTGGTCATGTTGTTTTGAGGTCATTTCGTTTGAAACTGAATGATCTTTAGTACCTCAAGATTTGAGAGAATTCCTCAAGCATTTTAATTTAAGTTACAGGTCTATAGTCACCTTCATGCTTGTCTTATTTGTACTTTATCTTTTCAGATATCGAAATTTTGAGCGGTTACATCGGCATCTTAAAGATATTCCTAACTATACACTGCACCTGCCTCCCAAACGAATATTTTCATCAAGCACAGAGGATGCTTTTGTTCACCAACGTTGCATTCAACTTGACAAATATTTGCAGGTATTTATTGATTTTCCATAGTTTCATACTTTCGTACATGTAGTCATTGTCGTTCATCAATTAACTTGTAGCTTTTTAAAATTAATAATGCATCCTGATTGCTTTACTGTGCATTTTCTTACCCAGGAGCTATTATCAATTGCAAATGTTGCCGAGCAGCATGAAGTATGGGATTTTTTAAGTGTTTCCTCAAAGGTAGTCAGCCCCTTTACTTTAGTTATATTATTTCTAACTCTTCATGGTCCTGAATTGCTTTGATTAACAATGCTCGCATGTGTACTATTAATTTTAAAATCCAGACAAGATTACAATTCAAAGCTTTATATTCAAGATTTCTACTCTCATATCATACCATATCATATTTTCATTAATTCCAAAATTTTATCTGTTAGGTTAGTGTCAATTTTTAATAAGTTGAAATATTCCAAACATCGTCTTTTAATTTTATGGACTCATTATCTTAGATGGACATCCAGATTTCAAGGATTTGCTCAACTTTTTACTCATTAGATTTGTGCAAGGGAATGATATTGGGAACTTAATTCTGATACTTTAATTATTTTTTTCCCAGAACTATTCTTTTGGAAAATCTCCCTCAGTGATGAGAACACTAGCAGGTGAGTGGTTGTTCTTATTGTTCTTTGCAGGCAAACACTTTGCAATTCGATTGCAAGAATGTTAATGTTGATTTTCTCTGTACTTTTTCTCATCCTATGCAAGTTATTTGCCTTTATCACTTGTCTTGTTGTAGCTTCTGTTACTAGATTGGTGGAACATTCGGCCCTTTATGGTAAAATATAATCTTTTTTGTTAACTCAATGAATAATCCGCATTCTTTATCCTAAAAAAAGGGAAATCCCCATTCTTTTGTCACACTATGAAAGTTGAACTTTTTGAGTATTGAGGGATTCTTACTCAGTTGAAGTGTTGTTGAACTACCATGAATAAATAGCTAAGTTCCTGTTATAAAAAAATGCAGTCTCTCAAATTTGCTTGATATCATTTCATGACCATCGTATACTTCCTAGCAGTATCCATCTGCGTGTTGATGCATTCTGATAAATTTTAAAATAATTGTCGATAAAAGTGGAAGTGTTCTAATGGGTGCCTTCGAGATGTCATTGGTTAGCAGTATCATGACCACTGACAATTGTTTGACAGTTTCTTCAATTCCTTTGTTATTGGCCATCATTGATGATTTCAAACCATTTTTAAATACAGTCAATGTGGATGATGCTGTGGATGATATTGTACGCCAGTTTAAAGGGGTCTCAGATGGTTTCATGCGCAAAGTTGTTGGTTCAACTTCACCCTCTGATGAAGCCTGTGCCTCATCAAACTATGACCGGAAATTGTCTTTTAATTCAAATGAGTTACGCAAACACGTTTCTGCACAGTATAATTTAGAAGAAGCTAATAACATGTCTGATGAGGAAGGTGAGAGACTTGGAAGTGAAAACCATGAAAAAGTTAGTGGATGGCATTCGGACACTGAATTAAACTCCAAGAGTTTTCCTCCTCGTGTGATCAAACGGGGTGAAGAGTCGGATAACTTGGTTGTTGACAAGAAAAATGATCTAGAACTGAGGTCTGGAGCCAGTCATGGAGGATTTTCTCAAACTTCATACCATATGGATGATCCAGAAGGAATGCCACCAGAGGTATTGCAACTTTATATGACTTCTTACTGTTTTCTGCTTTATTCATTTTAACAGTCAGGTATCTTGCATGCCACTTTTTTCACCCAAGTACAAATAATCTTGCGTTTTATCTACTTGGTTTGTTTATGGCCTAATTTCTAATCAGTAAGGGAAATCATCTTACAAAATTATCCTTTCTGGCTCCTTATGGTGCTCGGATTATATTTATATCACTTTTTTTCTCTCTAAGAACTTGATGAAAATGCTAGTGCTACTCAATAGGGACGCGCAAAGGACATGATGGATGGAAATAAAAGATATATGTGTCCTTAGTTATATGTTTGTAGTTATCACATTTCAATTGTTGTATGAGGACTGAACATAAAGACAGTTTATATAACATATGTTGCAAATTACATCTGTAAATAATTCATCGTTTTACTAAAAAGAGTTATAAAAATCTGAGCAAAATGAAAATCCTCTGAAAATGAATCCAACTACTGTAGGCAATGAACACAGAAGAAATAGGTGATTGATGTCATCACCGCAAAAACTTTACTTCTTGAGAATGTTTCCTTTCCAAATACATTTGGCCACCTTGCCATTCAGATGGCAGAAGACCAAAGCACTATAGTTACTAGACTTACTGAAAATAAGATTCAATCCTCAATCGTCCACCTCTTTGCATCATTATTTTCACTGGAAGTCACCTCAGCAGTAGTCTGAACAATATCATTCCACTCCATTTCCTGATTGTGAACGGTTCTGGTAAACTGCAAGAAATTGTGGGACATTCCGTTCAAGAAACTATATTGCTATTGTGATTGATTTACTGGAGTGGGCATGTACAAATCAGCTATAAGTTATTCTGATTAGGAAAAATTAAAGATTTGAGTTATTTATTGACTTGACACGTTAATGATGTTTGATTCAAGCACATAGCTGTGATATTCATAACTAATTGGTTGTTTCTATATTATATTTCTGCAGTGGACTCCCCCAAATGTTAGCGTACCTCTTCTAAATCTGGTTGACAAGATATTTCAGCTCAACAGGAGAGGCTGGATAAGGTTCCATACCTTCCCCATTTTCTCTATAACCTTCTTCAATGCCATATTCTACGTTGTTTCTGTGAGTCTGTTACTTAATTACACACAGTGGCAGATACGATTCCATATTTCCTGCTAAGTTGGAGGCTGTTTTATATGTATGCTTTTCTGGCCCCAAGTTGCTTCCTCTTTTTGTTTTCCCCCCATATTTTCTCCATAACTGTTGATGGCTGCTTTATATGTATATCCACTTCCCCAGTTGCTCTCTCCATTTGAGCTTTTTTACTGGCTACAATAATGTTATAGTCTAGAGTTTGTATTTATTTCTCTATTTCAAACTCCATTCAATTACAACTGACACAGCTTCTAATTTATTTGTTCCATTTCTATTATTAAAATTTTTGATGCAGGAGGCAGGTCCTTTGGATATCGAAACAAATATTACAGTTAATAATGGAAGATGCCATTGATGATTGGATTGTTAGGCAAATACACTGGCTACGGAGAGAGGACATCATTGCTCAGGGAATTCGATGGGTTCAAGATGTAAGTACTAGAACTAGTAAGGGTATTAATGAACCGTGTATTTTTCAAATTGACCGAAAGGTAGAATATCTCAAAATTACCTGAAACTGAAGATTGATATGACTAGTAATTGTGGTTTTCCCCCTTCCCTGCCATGAGGAGTTCAAGAGGGCTCACTTCTAATGTCTATTCTGCTGAAGAACTGCTTTAGTTTCTTCTAAATAAATTGTCAAGAAATGGGTCAGATTAGTTACATAGCTACTATGGATTTTTCTACTTTTTATGCCAAATAATTACTAGTAATTACTGCAGACAAAACTAAGGCTACCAACAGTGTGAGGAATTTTGGCGGTGCATTTTCATGAGGCCATGTTAAAAGAATTCATTGGGTGTTAATTCATACATAGAGACAAGAAACAAAATCTCAATGCTAAAGGTTCACAGTTACTCACGCCTTTGATGTTTTTATACAAAATGATTAAATTTGAGTATTTTACATTTGATCGATTGGCATCACTTTTTTTTTTAATTCAACAATGTGGTTGTAGGGACACGAACATCTGACATTTTAGGACGTATGTATAGCACCTTAATCAGTTAAGCTAGGTTCACATTGGCCATATTCATCATTTTCATACACTGAAAATTTGTCACATCTCTTATTTTTTCCTAATTCCTGATCCTGTTATTGGATGAACATCTCCTGATCTTTGGTCAGAAATGATACAATGAGGATTGGAAAAGAAAATTCATTCTTCCAACTATTGCTCCTTCAGGTTCTCTGGCCCAATGGAACATTCTTTATACAATTAAGGAATGCTCAAAGTGAAGATGATGATACTCAATCTACTACTAGCCGAACTGATGAAAGTAAGATCCCCAAGCCTGGGTCTTTTGAGCTGCAGCTTGAGGCTGCTCGTAGAGCTAGTGATGTCAAGAAAATGCTTTTTGGTGAGTGCTTTCTTTCTGCGAGTCTCTGACCTGAAAAGTGTGCAACATTTTGATACCTTTTCTTCATTGAAAGTTCTTCCCAAAGATGTACGACGTGACATGTAAAATATATAAATCCAAAATATTATATTTTGGATTGTAGTCATTGTTTTGTTGATATTTTGGATTTATCTATTTTAGATGTTCTATAAAATTTAAAGATACTTCGTTATCTTGTTGCTCTTCTTGTTATTCTTCTCCCAGCATTTAACATCATAGTATGGTGGGAATTTTTTTATGGCACTCTTGCATGTATGGACGTTTATACTTTATTAATAAACCTTCTCTTTTCACGATCTTACTTGAACAAGATCTATTTTATAGTTTGTACTGTGTCCTTCAATTCTAAAAATAAATCATCTGGTTTCAGTCTGTTTTCCAGGAGTGTATGATAGCATGAACTTATTGCTCCTAAAATATCAAAATATTGTTATTGTTTGTTCATTATATCATATTTATGAATTTAGAATCTTGTAATCGTGTTTGTATCCCTTTGTACTTTATAAGCAAGAACAATTTATAACAGACGTCAATACATTCTTTCTAGGTGGGGCTCCAACACCATTGGTAAGCTTGATAGGGAACAACCAATACAAAAGATGCGCAAAAGACATTTATTACTTCACTCAGGTGGGTTAACATTAATCATTTTGCATTTTGTCATTTCTTTTCGTCATCTTGGGTTATCTCGAAATCTGTAGAAATGAATAATTTGAGTAACATTCTGTATAATCAGCAGTCTTCCGTCTGTGTGAAGCAACTTGGGTATGGACTACTGGAGCTAATACTCGTATCAGTTTTCCCTGAGCTGCGGAACTTAGTCCTCGAGATTCATGATAAGTTGCCCATCTCGCCCATCTCATAACCTCTTATCCAGGTTATGTCTGCTTCTCCTCCCAATTCCGAGCTCAGAATGTCAACATTTTACTTACTTTAGCATTCAGGTTCCCTCAGTTTTGATGATGTAGTAGTAGTATTTAAGCGATGAACAGAGTCAGGAATTTTGTGGATTGCTGAAAATTCTTTTGTGAATAGAAATGGTTTTGCTCGTCTTTCTTCTTTCAACTGTATAGAGTTTTAGCTTTAGGGTGTGTATAGAATTTAGTGGTACAGCAGGTGATGGACAATCTCCATATCTTGGCCATTGTAATTGATCCATTCTCCTCTTGTTCATAATGATTCACCTTTTCTATTGATGATTGATATTGAAATTTATTTATTCATTATATATCATTTTGATTTCTGAGGGGTTCTCTCTCATAGATCTTGACATTTGGAACTCCTTGAGGCATTATTATTATTATTATTATTATTATTATTTTGGGTGAACTTGATAGCCATTGAATAATGATCCTCAAGAAAGTTCAAAGTTCCATGTTGTTGAAGTTGTTTATTTGAGGCATGATTCTGTGAATTTACTGGATTGGTAAAATATCACATTACATTATGTTATTTAATTAAAAAAAAGCTGAAATCAAGTCTTCAAAAATATTGACAACAAAAATTGAAAAATGAGGTATACTTTTAAAACATATTTAACTTTACCAAGATATTTACAAAACAGATGAAATGAGGATGCGAGAGGAAATTGGTTATTTTTAGCCAATTGCAATCACTTGAGACTTCACACGTTGATAAAATTTACCCATACAAGTCAATTATGTTTAAATTAGAAAAAATAATACAACTAATTGACTGTCATTGCAATTGGCTAAGAATAACCCATGCAAATACATATTACTTTTTTGGTTAAAATGTTATTTTGGTCCCTATAGGCGGTACTTTTACACTTGGTTCATTTTAGTTCTTGTACTTTGAAATGTCTATTTTGGTCCTTGTACTTTAAACTTCGGTTCATTTTATTCCCTATACCTTGAAAATGTTCGTTTTGGTCCTTGTACTTTTAAAAAGTGACTATTTTAGTCTTTCCTTGCAAAATTTTAACACAAATTTTACACATAACAAAAACTCTTTAGTGTAAAGTAATATTTACATTTTAAGAAATATATTGATTTTAGTGTAGTGTTGAAATTGTGATAGAAAAAAATGAGATTAAGAATAAAATTAAGAGACCAAAATGGTCACTTTTTAAGAATACATGAGTCAAAATGAATATTTTTGAAAGTACAAGAACTATAATGAACCAAAATTGAGAGTACATGGATCAACTAGTATTTTAACCTACTTTTTCTCAAGTTGAAGTTTCAACTTCTATTTTAGCATTTGTTGAGCTAAGAAGATTAATTCTATTACTTTAGAGTTATAAAATTATCTAAATTGAGAGGGAATGAGTTCAAATTCCATGATTGCCACCTTATCTTAGAAATTAATTCCTATGTGTTTTTCGATACCAAATATTGTAGGGTTGTTTGACTGCTCCATGAGATTAGATGAGATGCATGTAAGTTGGCCAAAATACTCACATATAAAACAAGAGTTGTATTCTGTTAGATTTGCTTGCTAATTGTGAAAATAAAAGTGAAAAGGAAAGAAGAAAGAAAAAAAGAAAATAGATAGTTTTTTTAGTACACTTTTGATTGAATACAAGTATTTTAACTTGTTGAACTATGCACCGATTAGAAAAACAAAAGGAAAAAAACAAGAAAACAAAAATAGAAAAAAATTGTTTTTCTGTACGTGGATTACCTTCCAACATTTTTCTGGTGGCTTATCRTATCAAATGTCTTTCTAATTAGGCCCCCGTTTACTTACTGGCAATTAAAATGATAAAAAAAATTAGAATGAAAAATATTTGGATAAAATTAAAAATTTTCAAACGCTTTCTCCATTATTTTTTAAAAAGAAAAAGAAAAAAACAACTCGCCGTTGGGTTAAGAAAACGGAAGAAAAAAAGGGAAAGGGGAAAAAAATCGCCGTTGCCGGGGATCGAACCCGGGTCACCCGCGTGACAGGCGGGAATACTTACCACTATACTACAACGACCTTGTTGATAGAAATTGCTTCTATAATATTATTGTATTTTTAATATCTTCTTGCACATTTTTATTTTTATTTTTCCTTTTTTTCAGTTCAACTATTACGGCTCTACCTTTAAAATAGTAATAAGGTAATGGTATTAAGGTTCCTTATTTACTTTGGATTAGCAAATATTTTAAGTTAGTCAAATATCATTAGACATAAAATTAAATTCGTGTAATGTCCATATTTTAATAATTTTCCCCCTGAAGTTCTCTCTATATAGATACTTTTTATCAACATTTTAATTTTATTTTTAACAAAAACAACTCTGATGTAATTATATAAACATTTCTAAATATTGCAATTATTTGGTGTCGTAGTCAATATGCCCCTTAACAATTCACCCAATTGCTCTTTATTTGCGATAATTTTAACCTAAGTTATAATTTTTTTTAGAATTTATTTGAAAATTTAAGGTAGCTTTGCAAATTAGTTTTAAGAAATATGATACTTTATGAACCCTAGTTATTTTCCAACGTAATTTCATTATCTTATAAAATTATTTTATGAGGAAATCATTTCAGACTCCATTTAATTAATTTTTTTTTCAGTACATAATTTCATTCAAAACTATACAAAATAGCAATAACTAAATTGATAAAATATGTCTTTCTTTCATACTATATATATATGTAGTCCTTGAGCTATGACATTGTGTTTATTTATTAGCTTCATTAACTTAAAAAAAAAATCAATATATCAAGTTCCAACGGATACTTTTATTTAGGCGTATCATACCCACTAAATTAATTTTAGTAGTCAATTTGAGTATAACTCAATATAATTATTATCGTCCTCAGGTGATAAAGATTCAACTCTTCTACTCTCACTATCATATCATATTTGTTGAATTAAAAAAGAAAAAGAAAAAAAAATAGTTAAGTTGGTATGATAGGACAAATAACTTTGGTACTTTTTTTTTTTGGTCCTTTTGAGTTTTTGCTATAGGTCATTTTGGTCCCAATGTTTCATAATTGTGCATTTTGATCATTGAATTTTTAAAATTAGGTTTAAATGGTCCCTCAACCGATACATATGTTAGGTATCTAACGCAACTGGACGTTACGCTTGTCGCTTAGCAAGATCGAATAAGATAGCTACGCGACAAAACCCTAACCTAATGTCCATGATAATATAATGCCAGCTGCTAATATACACGATCACCGGAAATTAATTCCCATATTGTAGCATGATTAGTGGCTTAGCAAGGTGATCATAACAAACCTTAAATGCGTCCTCGTGGAAGATAAGATTGCGTTGATCACTTCCACGCGAGCACTTACACAATGCCCCTTATAAATCGCTATTATTAGACCTATCGTGGTGCTAGTCATAAAATCATGTTACACGATGCTTGCATTTTAACACAGGGATGATGTAGTAAAAACAACCATATAACTTCTTGAAGAAGTTTCATATTTTATTAAACAAATATCATATGAGTTTACTAAGGGATAGACTAATCCACTCATTTCTTTATGTACGCCGTACAAGTGTTAAAATACAAGAATCACATAATGCTAATTTATGACTAGGATCATGGTCTTTGATATGATTAAGATCATATTTTTTAAGCCCATCATGTAAGTGTTCGCATGGAAGACCAATGCAATCTTATCTTCTACGTGGACGCACTAGAATTTATGATCTGTCTGTTGATGCAGAAATTTACCTTTTGAGACTTTGCAAATTTTGCACCAATCTTCTAGAAAAATGGACCAATGAGACCTGCAAAACAAAATCGTACTAAGATCGGGGTGATTCTTGCTACACGGGCTCCGATGCTTAAGTTAGTATCGGAGTAGTCTGAGGATGAAGAGTATGATATTTTGGCGTAGCAAAGAGTAGAGATTTATAGAGCACCTCCCTAGGATATATTCTACTAAATGTAGGAGAAATCCTAAAGCCATCAGATATCTCCCCCTTTTAAATAAGAGGATTTCGAATTGTAGAAAATATGAATTTTTTCATCCATAACAATCTCGTTGCCAAGTTATCAGATCTTGCTACATGATGACCAATAATACCAAGTGATCGCGTTGATTAACTATGTAATGTTATATTCCACGTGGACATGTTAGTGGTTCACGTCACATTCCTTTATTATTCAATTGTGCTACATGATGAGCTTAAAACTAAGCCCCTCCAAAGTGAATATTTATGTAATGAAGGATAATATAATTTCCAACTCATTAATGCAACATTAGCCTAATCATCTTTTTTCAAAATAGCTAAAAGAGGTGTTAGCTGATATATCATTTAAACTAGTTCTAGAAATTCATGGATCAAAAGTGTAGGATTTTACAACGTAAGGACCAAAATGACCCATAGACAAAAAACTCACACAAATAGATACTTTTCCTGAGAAAAAAAAAATCAACAAGAACTAAAATTAATTGAAACTATACTAAATACTAAATAGACAGTAGGTTTAAGTTTTATAAATTAAATTTAAAACTTAACTGATATTTAACAAAAAAACATGTTTTTTTTTTGCAAACATAAGAATCCTTTACTCGGTCATTATTGATATCTACTCTTTCCCTTGATTTTGAATGTTCAAATCATTCTACCCCAATTTATTATACTAAAAAAATACCTTGTTTTATAGAACCTTCTTTTTTTCCCTCAATCAATTAAATCAGGTCTCGATCACACTTCTATTTAATTTTATCATAAATAGTATTAATGAAATGTTGATATAACATGTCCATTAACTTAATTTTAATTAAATTGACATGATGTGACAAATAACACAAATGTCGTTCATTGATACTATCACGTAACATTCAATTAATAATAAAAACTAACATTATAAAAAATCACACCTAATCTACTTCTTAGGACTAAATGTGAGTTTGATGTACCTTTTAAATTAAACACTTCTTTTGCACTTTCTTACAAGTAATCATCTCTCAAGTATTTAAACTACCAGAATGACAGTTAACTTAAAATAACATTTTTATAATCTTTGAAGTGTTTTTCTTCACCAAATAATTTTAAAGCAATCCAATTTTTAGAAAATGTTTTTATTTAATTATCAAACATTGTGGATTTAAAAAAAAAAACACTTTATTAGTTATATAAAACTACTTAGAAGTAACTAAAGCCGCTCTCACAAGCACAACGGTATACGAGTCACCCGGGTAAGAAAGTGGAAGGAAAAAATAAATTAAGAAAAAATCGCCGTTGCCGGGGATCGAACCCGGGTCACCCGCGTGACAGGCGGGAATACTTACCACTATACTACAACGACCTTGTTGATTGAAATTTTTATTTTGTTAAATTTATACAATTATTATTAGAGATGAAATAAAAATAGTTTAATAAATTCATACTGACTTGAAAAATAATTCTCTATCTTTTAATAAATTTCTCTTTTGAAGTCTCTATTGATGTAGTCGTATAGATACTTTTGTCCACGTTTCAAGTTTTCTTTTATAATTAATAAAATTAGCGCCATTTTTTTTGTTTCTTAAGAAGGGACACAATTTAGATTATTTGAGAAATACTTGTTTATGGAATGAGCAACATGCTCTAATTGCTGAACTACGTTCATGTCAAACGTCTCGATCACACTTCTATTTAATTTGAAATTTTGATATAGCATATCATTAACTTCATTATAATTGAGTTGACGTGATGTGATAAACAACAGTTACATACATTCATAACATTAATTTTTTCTTGAAGTAGGTCACATAACGTTGGATTAGTAATTAATAAAGACTAAAAATTGTAGAAAATCGACGAACACTAAATAAAAACATAATTATTTTCAAATAGATGGTAAAAAAAATACTTTTAGTTATCTGAAACAACTTAAAGAAATTATAGGCATACACACTCTAAATTAGTAATTTTTACTATAATGCTGTAGAAAAAATTGAGTATTATAAAACACTTTTCTTTCAAAATCATCCCAAATATACTATAAAATATAATTTAACCGAAACAACACTTCTAAAATTCTCTAATATGAATGTTGAATACTCGAGCATTTTTGGATTTCTAGACATCCGATGCCAATACTCAACAATTTTAGATGTCTTCGGTGAGTTTTCAAGATTTTCATGTTGTGGGTATATTTTTTTGACAATTGTGTCATTCATCATTTTTATTCTATAAATTTTTTTCGTCAATTTTTATTTATTTTATTTTATTTTAAAAATAAATGCATGCACTAATTCATTCATTAATGACTAAATACAATTATATTTATATGCTACATTTAAATATAAAATAAACTTTACTCAATGGTATAATCTCTCCATCTATTTTCAATTGAATTCTATAGTGCAAATTTTAATTTATTTTACTCTTCCAATAGTCACCCATCAATTAAATTGACATAAAAATATAATATCAAATTAATAAAAGCAAAAATTTTATATGAATTCAAATTATATTTAAAAATATATATGTTAACCTATAAATTATATGATGATGGATAAGAATATTGTGAGAACAATACGTAATTTTAATACATTTCATGTACAGATTTTGCAAAACAAACATAGCTATTAAAGTATTACAAGACATTTTTATAAATATTCTCACAAAATAAACATGAACATCTAAAAATGTTGGACATATATAATTCCAAATATCTAATATTCCGAACATTTGAAGATGTCAACTATCTAGATTCTCGAAAACAAAGGTCCTATGGGAGGTTTACAGATAACACTAATTTTTTACTAACCAAACTAGATATTTTCTTTAAGGGAAAGAACATCACTTTTTGTGCACACAAAAAAAAAAAATCGAATAAAATAATAAGGGGTTGTGCAAGAATGAAAGCTACTCTCAAGTCTCAAGTCCAAGTCCGAGCACAGTATATCACCATTTTCCTTGGTTAGCATTCAAAGTTCTCACAAAATCTTTGGCAATTGTAATCTCCTTAGGAACCACCCATAGCCATCCCATCTTATCCATTTCCCCACTCATTTTTCTCCATACAAACCCCATTTCTCCCTTCCCTCTCAATCCAATCCTCTTCAACTTCACCCAAAATTCCTCTTTCACACACAGGTTCATCCCCAAATCTCTCTTTCCCATCTGGGTTTTCAATCAATCTCACTCTTCTTCCTCTTCTTTCAGGCAACTCTATGGCGACTGCCTCCGCTACCCTCTCGCCGGCCATGTCCACCGCCGCCCCCATCGCCGCCGGCTCAAGGCGGAGCCAGAGGCACCACAATGTCCACTACATCACTGGCCTCAACTCCTTTGGTGGGCTGAAGGCTCACAACAATGTCGTCTCCTTGGGCCTTCCCCTGTGCCCTGACCACTCCTTTGCAAAAATTGTGAGTTCTTTGAAATATCCATCAAAAGGAAAGGGCAAAAATGGCGGCGGCGGCGGCGCCCTGTCCTCCACCTGTAATGCCGCCGGTGAGATTTTCAGGATTGCGGCCATTATCAATGGGCTGGTTCTTGTGGGAGTGGCTGTTGGGTTTGTTCTTCTCCGGATTGAGGCATATGTGGAGGAGACAGAGTGAGAAGCAAATGGTTGATTGATTATATTGTTCACTTGTCAAATTTGTAAGTTATCTGTTACCTTTTACCAGTTATTGTAGAACTCAATTGTTTCTCTCGATCAAAACAATTGACATAATTCATTTTGGTTCCCTCCCCTCCCCCTTTCTCATTCCAAAATAATGGCAATGTAGAAGAACATGTTCATCTGCTTGGATCCCCTGGAAGAGGAAAATGCATATTCTTGTAAATTTTTGTGTTGCTTTGAATCTTAGACATATATATATGCTTTAGCAGGCATTTCTTGTGAGATCAACAGATTGTTTACAGGCATGGTTTTCTGATGCAACATTGAACCAAACCAGCAACTTAAACTGGTCCAATAAACTTAGATTCTGTTTTGGTTGTAGAATCAAAATTGAAATCAACAATTCCACTCAGTTGCAGTATATACAGCTTTATTGTTCTTGGGAAGGCATGCTAGTGTACATAAAAAGCTTACGAAATGCTCGAAATTTTCTCCAATTCGTCCAAAATGGCTGATTCAGTTTCAAAGATAGGATTATAATCTCTTGAACCAGTTAGAGATGCTAGTCCCAGTGTTTAAACAGGTTGGACAATAGCCACTAGAAAAACAAGCCGCTGGGATGAAAAATAAGCTTCATCCCAGTTAATAGGCGTGTATCAGTAACGAAAACGTCTTTCATACCGTATATGCTACTTGCTAGAAAGTCGAATAATACAGGAGTCGAAAAGTGTGACATTAAAGAGGACTTTCTCTTCATGTATGATTCTTATAGAGGTGGGTCTCGAAAACGGTTGAACTTGCAATATTGGATGCTGAAACTACTTAGTTCATCAACAAAGTTCTATTCTGTAGCAACTTACCATTAGTTCTATAGTTATTTATTTTGGTTGGATAGCCTTTTAGTAGTCTTTAAAGGATATTGACTTTGTCCCTTTTGACAATTTGATTCACCTCATTCATGACCTTACTGCTGGTAGTAGCTATGTTAACGCATATCGACATCATTTTTGCTGCTTAAAGCTGCTCGTAGTCGGACAACTGGATCTTTGAACTATAATTTTCAGGTTTAATCCATTTGAGGCTTATAAATCCTGTTAATATCAGGATTCCAGCAAGTATCCAACTGAATTGCAGGTTGGCGAGCGCCCGTGCCCTCATATCAGCTTCTGGAGAGGCACAGACGACTGCTCCAAGCATTTCGTCTTTGCCTTTCTCCACGATCCTCATGCTGCAGCCCTTAGGAACCAGGTCTGGAACCCATAACATAAACCCCATATCCATAAACCAGCACCCTTGCAAAACAACCAACAATGAAAGAACAAGAGCTGCAGGGAAGCTGGTAGGACAACAAGTAGCTACGAGTACCGACACGAGAGACGCGAACACTATGAGCTGTAGGAGCCAATGGTAATGGCCTTCAACACCATTGTGGTCAGCCGAGTGGAAATGGAGCAAGAACAGTTCCTGACTGAAGACAGAGGCTGCAAATATGCCTTCGACCCCAGATGATAAGTTTGTCGAACGATTCAACTCGTTGTAGAGGATAAAACCCGAAAATATGGCAAGGTGCAGGAACATGGTCGCATGCTCCAAGTTGATGACTTTGAAAGACAAGTGAAGAAAAGGGTAGTCCCAAAACTGTCTGAAAATTGCAAGTACTGAAAAAGAGAACACGAAAACAAGCTCGAAGTACTTGAGTCTGGAAAGCGGCCATTCGAGAGGGTACCAAAATCTGACTTTGAAGTTTGAAGAGCCTTTGAGATTGTAGGCTCTGATTGTATTCACAGTGTGCCAAAGGCCAAGAAGGGTGAATACAAAACCAGAAACTACATGAGGTACAAATTGCCCCATTGAAACCCTCTAGTTTCAAATTCTAGCTTACCAATATCATCTATAAGCCAATGCAATTTTATATTCTCTCATTTGGCTTGTAGGTTCAACCTACAAATACATGATGGTTGTCTAGTCAAATATTTGGTGCATAATGTATGTGTTTTCCACTAGGAAAGTCATTGACAAAAGTTGATAAAGGAGCTTTAAAAATAGGAATACTGATTGGGAAATGATGGGCCACTTCAATGCTTAGATGTAGAATGCAGAAAATGAACTCATACATGATTTTGGAATTGTTAGCCCTTACTTGGGTTAAAATCCTTTCTAATTTGCATGGTGAAGAGCAAGGAAGAGAAAACACTATACTTTTAGATGGAATGGACATGTGTCAATTAGTTGAATTGAATACGTGATTTGGAATGTCGAAGCATGTGTTATGTTCTTCGATTCGGGCATGATGAGGACATGTGTTTGACGTGTTGCTTGCAAAGCACCAAGGATGTGTGGATTATATGTGTGGTAGAAAGACAATAAACAAATGATCCAACGAATGATCTTGATGGTACAAATTTCAAATGTTCTAATATTCTATCGTAGGTCTTAGCTTTAAGCTCTTAAACAGGAAACTTAATATATTCAATGTTGTCTCTAGATAAGCCACAAGCATAAATTTGAGGACTAGAATCAAGGTTTTAAATGTCGAGGTCTTAATTTCATGAAAATATCGATAAAATGTCGATGTTGATAGATAATTTTGTTGATATTTTTCATATTTGTTGATTTTTTTATGCTATAATAAAAATGTCGATTCACCCCTTATGTAGATATCGAATTCATGAAAACATGGACATATCGATGAAAATGTCGACGTGTCGATGAATATTTAGAACCATAACTAGGATCAAAATAAGAGAATCCATGCAAATGCATTAAGCTCATTAATCAAAATCTCTAATTTAGGACCAAGATCATCTTGCGACCAAAATGAGACAACAAGACCATTCAAAGAAAAAACCACATTTTGCTCCTCCAAACCCGTAAAAAAAGGTTGGAGAAGAAAAATGAAAATATAATTTTGAATCTTTAAGGGTCATTTCTAAAATGAATAAAAGTTGAAAGTACATAAACTAAAATGAACCAAAAACTGAAACTACAAGGGTATGTGGCTCGCTGTTTTTAGTATTAGAATATTTGAAAGATGCAAGGAATTTAATGCAGCCAAACCAATTAAAAGAGTGATAGTGAAAGCTTGCCATAAACGAAGCATATTGTGGTTCTATCATAAATGGCAAAGATTTAGTGCTGCCTTTCAGATATGCTTAATGGCTCTAAGTGCACTATAAAAAAGTAGGCAACAAAAGCAAATGCTAAGTGGGGGAAGCTTTTGTTTGAGACTAACAGAAAAAACTGTGAACGAATCGCCTAAAGGGAAAGAGGGATGGTTCCATTGATCACCATTGATGGGAAAAAGATCAGATCGCTGGTTGTTTCTTTTTGGTTTTGGTTCAAGGTTCTAACGTGTCGAGGTCGAGAGATCGAAGGAACACCTGACGTTCTTAACGAGGTGAATGCCTCGTTCTGCTTCGAGGCTGCCGTAGGCCTATAGGTGGAGGCGCGATCAACCAGTTGTCAGGGGCGTACACCCCCGTTAGGCGTCGTACATCTTATCGTGGAGGCTAAATGCTTTCTTTTCATTTCTACGTCTACAATAATATCCCTTTATCAAGATATTATATGTAATAGCATTGGGAGCCATTCCTTTCTTCTGAATTTCTTTCATCATTCCTTCAGCTTCATCGATTCAAACAATGCATGAATCAGCAAATTATAAGTTGACACAGTTGGATTTTATGTCTTTCTTCAACATGTCACCCTTATAACCCTTATAAGAGAGAAAATTATTAAAACATGGACATTACACAGAGTTTAATTTTATCTTTATCTGTAATGATGTTTAACTTTCCTGTAAAAAAGGGTTATAATTAACTTAAAGTATTTGCTCATGCAAACATACCAGGTAGATAAGTAACCTTAATACCATTACCTTGTTACTATTTTAAAGGTAGAGCCGTAATAGCTGAACTGAAAAAAAAGGAAAAATAAAAATAAAAATATGCAAGAAGATATTAAAAGTACAATAATATTATAAAGCAACTTCAATCAACAAGTCGTTGTAGTATAGTGGTAAGTATTCCCGCCTGTCACGCGGGTGACCCGGGTTCGATCCCCGGCAACGGCGAATTTTTTCCCTTCCCTTTTTTTTCTTCCGTTTTCTTAACCAAACGCGAGTTCTTTTTTTCATTTTCTTTTTAAATATATATATATATAATGGAGAAAGCGTTTGAAAATTTTTAATTTTATCCAAATATTTTTCATTCTATTTTTTTTATCATTTTAATTGCGAGTAAGTAAACGGGTCTGATTAGAAATACATTTGATATGATTAGCCACAAGAAAAATGTTGGAAGGTAATCAACATACAGAAAAACATTTTTTTCTTTTTTTTTTTCTGTTTTCTTTTTT